AATATAATCAACACATGCAATGAAAACAATTATTCATAGGACATACTGTAGTTATATTTTTGAAGCCTTGTTTTTAATTTCCTATTCTATCTTATTTCATACAGGATATGGCTTCAAAGGCACTCAAAATATGCAATTACAAAAGTGTGGATGATGCAGTGGACATAATTAGAAGAATACAGATGAGTGCCAAAAATGATTTACTAAGAGGAGGACTGCCAAACGGTTCTCCTACAGTTTCTAGTACTACAGGTAAGACTATAGCAATATGCATGCATCGTACTATTAGGAATATGTTGTTGCACAAAGCTGGAAGAAATACATTCAAATCCAAATTTTGTTAGAAGTGCACATCTATGAAAGAGTCGTATTTCCAGAGCCATTCAAAGTCAGCCATCTGGCTGCCTGTTATTTTAAATACATATTCATTAGGTTCATACATTTTGTACCGACTTCACATTATAAACAGGTACAAAATTTGATTGAAAATTTTCATTTTTTGCACAAAAATATCCATTTCTGTGGCTACATTAAAATCTTGCATTTAAATAGAGGTGTCAGACAGGCTTTTTTCATTTTCTGGTTATAACCCTGTCTGGAGTTGACCCCATTCTGCCACCTCTGTTGTAATTTGACATCGATGAGATAGCATTAGATAGCTGGAGCTTGTGGAAACCTTGTTGCATGGCAACCACTGCTATAGGATTTGATTTGTCTTGGAAGGGAAAACTGTTTCTCCTGTGATGTTTCCTCTTACTACTGCTAATGGTGGATGGGAGTTGAACCCACTCAGAACCTTCTGGTCCAGTCCCTCTACTTGCCCACCAATCTAGTTGTACATGTATTCAAAAATAATATTAATAATATTTTTTGCTTTTGAAATATATATATTTTGGGCAAAACTATTAATCAAGTTTTCAGTGTCTTATCACTAAGAACAACAACTTGCAGTCTGGACTATCAACTACAAACTGTACATGTAGATAAGTTTTGTGTGACAATTGTGAAATTGCAGCAAAAATAAATATTTTTTTCTTTTCATGGAAATACAAACATGGTATACATTTTAATGATGGTACTTTTTAACACCAAATTTATATTGCATTGTGAAATTAGCCATTATTTAAATGAGCACTGGTACTATACATCTGTAGGGCATACACTGTCTATCAGTTCCCCCCCCCCCCCCCCGACATTCTTCAAACTCAGGCGGCATCGCACAAAGTCTCGTCACGCATGCCATTTTCAAATTTTTTTACTTTAATTGACAACATCTTAGTTTGCCGAAAGGATCAACTAACTTGGGTTTACCCTTTGGCTAGCATCTTGATTTGAACCGATGGAGATGTTAACTAAATGTACTAGATATAATACAATATTTGGTGGTCTTTTGTCACTACATATTTAGTATAATACATGTATGTATACTGTAACCCGGACTTTATGTTTTAAAGACAATCACCTGAAAGAAATTTTGCAAAAGTAACTGGCTGCATGTCTAGGAATGCTTTAAAATAAATTGCGATTATCGTTGACGCAAACAATCTGCAAATGAAATTAAAGGTGGTATAATTGTGGACTTTTATTTTATTCAGTGAATTAATACCTTGCTTGTGTAGTACCTCATCACCATCCTGTGAATGTGAAGAATGCCTTGATCTCTTGAGTCTACATGGCCATCTGTTTAAATACATAGATGAAAGTGTTAGGCAAGGTTATAGCTGCTCTCCTGGCAATCAAATCAAGTCTATATGAATTAAGGTAGCGAGACTATTATTTGTGTTGAAAATTACGATTTTCACATTTATTTATTAATTGATGAAATGCACTATAAACTTTCATCTGATAAAGTCAACGTAACCTAGAATGTCATGTAAGTTGGTTAAAATGTAGATTTTCTGAAGGGAAGCAAGGCAGCTTCAGTAGTGTTTTCCAAAATCAACAACACAGGTTTAACTGTGTGCCTATAAGTTTCAAAGATTAACTCAAGACAAAGCAATTACTACGTTCATGTTACGGGATCTCGGCACGTGCCAAAATTTTTAATCAGTTGTGTTTGCAGAGGGATTACAGCAGTTGTGTTCACGTTATTCAGGACCCACTTAGGACCGACTGGGCTCGTGCCGAAATCACGCTCTCATTCGTCGATCTGTTGGCCCAAACGATACGCATATGATGATAATAATAATAATAATAATTGTTATAGTGAAATTATATCCATTTGTTGCAATGGTGTTTATTACGAGCAATCGTGCACATGAACGGCAAAGAAGATTCGAAATATAATTATTTTTTTCACGTCAATGTAAAATGTGCAAGAAAATAGAGGTTGTAGCAGCACATAAATATGCGTCGCTGATGACGGTTTGCATTCATTACTACAGCATCCGACCATCTACTGTCATCGTAATTTCATGCTAGTATCAATCAACTTATGTTTTTCTTAAATTTACCACCGAGGGCGTGATTTCGGCTCGTGCCGAGCGTTCAGGCAGCAAATCTCGGCACGTGCCGAGTTTCGGTCCCAAGCATCCATCGGGACCGAGATCGAGTTCTTTTCGGCCGACTCGGTCCCGAGTCTCAGCACGTACTGAGATCTCTAATGTGAACGCCACTAATGTTAAAGATGTATTATCAGTAGCTATCTGACACACAATGAGTGTTTCCAAACATTTGAGTGGTTTGTCTCCGCCTCTGTTTATTTCACAGGTTA